CCTCCCACTATAAAAATAATGGACGAAAACCATCCTGGGGATTGTCCCCCCTATATATAGAGATGGTTCCTGGCCCCTCCCCCTACTGTAGTATACTTAGGACACACTATACATTATACCTCATTTGCTGTGTGAAGGTTGACTGCATATGAACTAAGCTGTAAAAACGCAGGGTATGACAATATGTTTCCTCCCTTGCAGGAACCTTGTAGTATAATACATCTCCCTCTGTATTCTCACTGGTAGTTGTTCACCCCACTCTTCCTAGCAGCAACCGGAGGTTTGGGAAATGAGGCAACATCTTTCTCCAAGCGCCTAGCCTCAAAGTTGTCACAGAAATGGGACACACCCTACAGCACCACACTTTGTTGGCTGCAATGTAATTTGGCCTTCTCTCTCCTACGCAGCTCAATCCAGGTCATCAGAGGTGCCAGGTCCTCCATTGGACACCCAGCAAGACCACCGAGCTCAGTGGATCTGGCTACCACTGAGTCGAGGATGTCTGACATCAACATGTAAACCTATGCAAACACAACTGCACTATTTTTCCATCTTGTACTGCATTACCTGCAATGATGCAATGAGGTTGTTAAATACAAAAACCCAAAAAATCTTATAACAATTACTCATGCAGTGGACATGGCAAACATCAACAAAAATCACAGCATTCAACTATGGACAGCCTGTACATTGCCAGGAGAGCTGCCTGGCATATGACTATTATTATACTAGTGGTGGAATATGTGTGTAACAATAAACATTCCTTACAATTGGGGCACATTTGCTTGTTAATTGACATTTCAATTCATGATCTCCACTATCAACAGCAATTGCAATTGGACTTGTGTCAGGGATCACTAAGTACGGTAGTACTTAGTATATAGGGATGGGCATGGTACCTAGCATCATAGATGCATCTTCTGCTTCTTCTTCAGATTCAACTCAAAAACTAAATTAGATAAAGGCATGAAATTTTGTAAGAATGTAGATATCCATAACCCGATGAGAGTGGTCATATTTGTTTGTAAACAATTTGTTTACAGTAAGTAAACAACAACAAATAGCCCCTGGCAATGCATTATGATGGGGATACATGAGGCAGCATAACTCATAAACAACAGCTATGTAAAATAAAGTTTGTATACATATGTATTCCATCACCAACAACGAAAACACAACAATACAAGTTTGTGTAATAGCCTCAGGCAATGTATGTTGATATTCACTATTTGTTACTAATGAAAGCACATATGGATATGAAACGTGGTAAGCATGTGTTTTCATCCTCACCATGTCACCAAATATGATTACATGTTTGTAAAAACAACAACATATAGCCTTTCTTCCAAACTTGCTAATAGTAGAAGACATAGACATCAAACTTGGTACACATGTGTATATATTGCATCCTTACCATCACATAACATGTTTAAAAACAACGACAAAGAGCCTCGGGCATAATAATTTAATTTTCAGGGGCTTGCCCCACTCCCACTTAGAGACATGTACACAAGTGTATATAAAACTGAGAGGAAAATAACATTCTACGCCTGGCTTGGGGAATATAACACACCTCCATTATTATTATAATAATTATGCTTCATATCCCATCCCTGTCTTGTCTCCCTTCCTTTTTTACCATCCCTATATTCCCTCTACTATAAATTAATATATGCTAAACGACAACATGTCTGTAAGCAGCCTCTTGGCTCAGGTTTTCGGTTGCATGACCTAAATAGTGATTTCAATGGTATGGGCAGTCACTGGTATTGCCAAGCCTCACGAATGAAAGTACTGCACTGTGACATTCACACAGGAACTGATAAAGGAAGTGAGTGAGGACTACCATCACAATTAGCCTACCAATTACATATAAAAACCTTAGGCAACTATTTGCCTACATGGACTTTTTTTCTGTGAGGGAGGTGAGCAAGTGTGATAGAGCATGACTTTTAATAGATAAAGTCAATCTTTTGCATGCACAATAATATATTAAAGGATGGGAGAATAACTCTTAATGACGGTTTATCATAAAATCAGCTGATTAGCTTGTGTGTGGGAGTTCCACCTCATATAGCATGTTCAGGACATACATGCAGCAATATTGCTCAGAGTACCACAACCAACAATCTTAGCAGTAAATAATCAGCCCCAGTAGCAGAAGTCACCTGGGCAAGAGTTAATTGTGTAGGTGTACTAGTGTTAGCTCCCCCAGTGCTTCTTAGCAGTAAATAAAACTATGACACCCACTTGCTATCTGCACTTGCAAACCCACAGATTGATCATTAGCCCCACCACTAAGTGTGTGCAGGCTTGTGCGTGTGACAGTTGAGAGGATCATATCCATGCCAACCCTCCCACACTCAAAAGATGAAACGGACACACACCACACACCCTACAGTACACCCACCAGCCGCTGACCACATGAGCCACTGCATTATGCAGGAAACATTGAGTACAGGCTGCAAACACATCCGGCATACATGCCATAACTGGTAATACCAGTGTCCTAAAACCAGTTTTCCTACCTGTAAAACCAGTTTTTTTTTTGCCTATAAGACATGGGCCCTGCGGCCAGTTCTTCAGTCTGCCGGCAGATGTCAAGACCTCCGAACTCAAAGCCGCGTGACTGAAAAGCCGCCTGTGAGTTACTAAAGTACTGTAACAAAACTAAACTCAGCCTATCCCTTGGGCTTTCCCTCTCTCTCACTCTGGAGTAGTGTCATGAAATTTGAAATTTGAAAAATGAAGTCACACTTGGTGTTTCAATCAGAGAGTAGCTCATAATGCAGCTAATATACACCAAACCCGTGTAACCCTCTCTTTTGGGATCAACTGGAGTGTACGGACCCAGCGCGTAGCGACTTCCGGCGACTCGCAAATCACTCGCAATCGTGTGCGCCTGTCCAAATAAGGCCTAACCCACTCGATGCCGCGTGTATGCAAGCCAAGAAAAAGCAGGGTCGGCTGACCGCGAAGGCTCCCCGGATTGTCTACTCCGCCTACTGCCCCCCCCCTTAGACCTCCGTGGAACAGTGTCGTTGTGCTGTGAAGTCACGGAGCGTAGCGAGAGAAGTACATTGAGTTAGTCGGAACCTAGCCCTGGACCATCGCCGCCTTGGTTTGTAACAGCACCGACTTTGCCCTAGTAAGTGTACATTTGCTCTAGTACGAGAAAGCCGGAGCGCCGGCCTACATTCCGCTCCTGTTAGTTCGACTGAAGATCAACTGTCGTTGTGCTGGGGTGGGGGGAAGCACAGTCGAACTAACCAGAGTGGAATGTAGGCCGGCGCTCTTTCTCCTACTAGGGCAAATGTACACACAGCCGACCCTGCCATCTTGCCTTTTTCTTGGCTTGCATACGCGGCATCGAGTGGGTGTGGCCTTATTTGGACAGGCGCACACGATTGCGAGTGATTTGCGAGTCGCCGGAAGTCGCTACGCGCTGGGTCCGTACACTCCAGTTGATCCCTCTTTTGTCTCTTTCTCTCTTTCCCTCCCTCTCTCTTTCCTTGCAGGAGACACTGATATCCGGAGACACTCCCCAATACCCCGTAAGTGTGCCATTTCACTGCATCACTCTATACTCATTAATTTTTACCATAGCCTTAGATTGAAAAGAGCAATCAGTGGAAATTACATTCTTTGCCTATATTGCAAATTCTCCTTTTTGTCACAATTTTCTTGTCATCTAAGAGTAGACACTAGCTGCAGCACTAAATTATGCAAACTTGTGCAAGCTTTGACATAGTTGTGATGTAAAATCCACCCCCTGTATGAGCTGAAGAATGAGTGACCTAGCGATTCCCACACATTCTGAACAACATTGTGTAATGGCATTGATCTGCAGCATTTCTAAAAGAGCAATCAGTGGAAATTACATTGCCTGTCTTGCAAATTCCCTTTTTTCCCACTATTTTCCTCTTATCTAAGAGTAGACACTAAATTATGCAAACTTATGCAAGCTTTGACACAGTTGTGATGTAAAATCCGCCCCCTGTATGAGCTGAAGAATGAGTGACCTAGCGATTCCCGCACATTCTGAACAACATTGTGTAATGGCATTGATCTGCAGCATTTCTAAAAGAGCAATCAGTGGAAACTACATTCCAGCATTTCTAAAAGAGCAATCAGTGGAAATTACATTGCCTGTCTTGCAAATTCCCCTTTTTCCCACTATTTTCCTGTCATCTAACCCTGGCCACCCAGTCTTTTTCAACTATGCCAATATTACAAAGGCACCATCCTCACTAAAGGTTTTCATGCTCACACCCTTCGTATTGTTTCACTGAGCATTTTTCCTACAGTCTCCTGAGGCAAACTTTAGCACCAAAGGCAGGCTAGTAGAGGACAACGGAAGCTACATCTTTGAACTATTCCACTACACTCACCAGGTAAACATGCAGTCTATAGGGAGAGACACGAGTTGCAGTATGCAAACTCGTGCAAGCTTTGACACAGTTGTGATGTAAAATCCGCCCCCTGCATGAGCTGAAGAATGAGTGACCTAGCGATTCCCACACATTCTGAACAACATTGTGTAATGGCATTGATCTGCAGCATTTCTAAAAGAGCAATCAGTGGAAATTACATTGCAGCATTTCTAAAAGAGCAATCAGTGGAAATTACATTGCCAGTCTTGCAAATTCCCCTTTTTTCCACTATTTTCCTGTCATCTAAGAGTAGACACTAGTTGCAGCACTAAATTATGCAAACTTGTGCAAGCTTTGACACAGTTGTGATGTAAAATCCGCCCCCTGCATGAGCTGAAGAATGAGTGACCTTGCGATTCCCACACATCTGAACAACATTGTGTAATGGCATTGATCTGCAAGAGCAATCAGTGGAAATTACGTTACCGGTCTTGCAAATTCCCCTTTTTTCCACTATTTTCCTGTCATCTAAGAGTAGACACTAAATTATGCAAAGTTGTGCAAGCTTTGACACAGTTGTGATGTAAAATCCGCCCCCTGCATGAGCTGAAGAATGAGTGACCTTGCGATTCCCACACATCTGAACAACATTGTGTAATGGCATTGATCTGCAAGAGCAATCAGTGGAAATTACGTTACCGGTCTTGCAAATTCCCCTTTTTCCCACTATTTTCCTGTCATCTAACCCTGGCCACCCAGTCTTTTTCAACTATGCCAATATTACAAAGGCACCATCCTCACTAAAGGTTTTCATGCTCACACCCTTCGTATTGTTTCACTGAGCATTTTTCCTACAGTCTCCTGAGGCAAACTTTAGCACCAAAGGCAGGCTAGTAGAGGACAACGGAAGCTACATCTTTGAACTATTCCACTACACTCACCAGGTAAACATGCAGTCTATAGGGAGAGACACGAGTTGCAGTATGCAAACTCGTGCAAGCTTTGACACAGTTGTGATGTAAAATCCGCCCCCTGCATGAGCTGAAGAATGAGTGACCTAACGATTCCCACACATTCTGAACAACATTGTGTAATGGCATTGATCTGCAGCATTTCCAAAAGAGCAATCAGTGGAAATTACATTGCAGCATTTCTAAAAGAGCAATCAGTGGAAATTACATTGCCAGTCTTGCAAATTCCCCTTTTTTCCACTATTTCCTGTCATCTAAGAGTAGACACTAGCTGCAGCACTAAATTATGCAAACTTGTGCAAGCTTTGACACAGTTGTGATGTAAAATCCGCCCCCTGCATGAGCTGAAGAATGAGTGACCTAGCGATTCCCACACATTCTGAACAACATTGTGTAATGGCATTGATCTGCAGCATTTCTAAAAGAGCAATCAGTGGAAATTACATTGCAGCATTTCCAAAAGAGCAATCAGTGGAAATTACATTGTCTTGCAAATTCCGCTTTTTGTCAATATTTTCCTGGCATCTAAGATTAGACACTCAGTTGCAGCACTAACTTGTGCAAGCTTTGACACAGTGGTGATGTAAATCCGCCCCCTGTATGAGCTGAAGAATGAGTGACCTAGCGATTCCCACACATTCTGAACAACATTGTGTAATGACATTGATCTGCAGCATTTCTAAAAGAGCAATCAGTGGAAATTACATTGCCTGTCTTGCAAATTCCCCTTTTTCCCACTATTTTCCTGTCATCTAACCCTGGCCACCCAGTCTTTTTCAACTATGCCAATATTACAAAGGCACCATCCTCACTAAAGGTTTTCATGCTCACACCCTTCGTATTGTTTCACTGAGCATTTTTCCTACAGTCTCCTGAGGCAAACTTTAGCACCAAAGGCAGGCTAGTAGAGGACAACGGAAGCTACATCTTTGAACTATTCCACTACACTCACCAGGTAAACATGCAGTCTATAGGGAGAGACACGAGTTGCAGTATGCAAACTCGTGCAAGCTTTGACACAGTTGTGATGTAAAATCCGCCCCCTGCATGAGCTGAAGAATGAGTGACCTAGCGATTCCCACACATTCTGAACAACATTGTGTAATGGCATTGATCTGCAGCATTTCCAAAAGAGCAATCAGTGGAAATTACATTGCAGCATTTCTAAAAGAGCAATCAGTGGAAATTACATTGCCTGTCTTGCAAATTCCCCTTTTTCCCACTATTTTCCTGTCATCTAACCCTGGCCACCCAGTCTTTTTCAACTATGCCAATATTACAAAGGCACCATCCTCACTAAAGGTTTTCATGCTCACACCCTTCGTATTGTTTCACTGAGCATTTTTCCTACAGTCTCCTGAGGCAAACTTTAGCACCAAAGGCAGGCTAGTAGAGGACAACGGAAGCTACATCTTTGAACTATTCCACTACACTCACCAGGTAACATGCAGTCTATAGGGAGAGACACGAGTTGCAGTATGCAAACTCGTGCAAGCTTTGACACAGTTGTGATGTAAAATCCGCCCCCTGCATGAGCTGAAGAATGAGTGACCTAGCGATTCCCACACATTCTGAACAACATTGTGTAATGGCATTGATCTGCAGCATTTCTAAAAGAGCAATCAGTGGAAATTACATTGCAGCATTTCTAAAAGAGCAATCAGTGGAAATTACATTGCCAGTCTTGCAAATTCCCCTTTTTTCCACTATTTTCCTGTCATCTAAGAGTAGACACTAGTTGCAGCACTAAATTATGCAAACTTGTGCAAGCTTTGACATAGTTGTGATGTAAAATCCGCCCCCTGACCTTTTATAGTGCTACCAAACTCACAGAGCCCCATTAAATTCTGCATGTACACAGAACACTGATCACTAATAACTCCCCCACCCCTTTCTCTCTGAAGGATGGCAGATTTACCTCCAGCACAAAAACGCAAAAGGGGACAGGAGAAGAGTGGATATGATTTAGAATTGCACTTGCGAAAGGTGGTGAAGGGAGAAATCCCATGTCTTTTTTTTGGCAAATGTGTCAAAGTATTCCCACTCACCTTTAAAGAAGTGGGCCATCCCAGTGCCAGTTCGTATCCCCTTAGTGTCTTTGAGAACCCCAATCTCGATCGTGAACTGAAGTTTGTACAGGAAGTCCTTGGGATCCCACATGAAGCCAATACCATTTATCGTCTGCCTATCGGCTATGTACACGTGTACTCCAAGACAGTGCCCTGCAGTGCACTGAAGTTGTCTGCAGCAAGTAGGTTTTTCACTTTCGACACTTCGACTCCCATGATGACTCTTCCACGAGAGTGCACAATTGACATCAAACCATTTGTGTACGCCAAGGATGACCTGGAAAGAATGGGTGAAGATAAGGGTGAAGATAAGAGTGAAGATAAGACAGAGTATGCGTGGAAAACTGAAGAGCTTGTGTCCTGGGATTGGAACGAGGAGGTGTGGTCGCAGCGACTTTTCCAGTGCATACAGTGCATACAGCATGAATTCCCTGGAGTGAAAGTGGTACCTGCCTTTCTGTGGAAACCAAATGGCTACCAGGCGGAAATCAGCACGATATTTTCAAAAGTAAAGTTTATACACGCAACTCCCTTTCACGGGATGACGGACATTTTGCTAGTTGGAGAGAAGAGCCTTGGGCTCATTCGTGTACAGGAGTGCTCGGTTGATAAAGAAGCCACTTGTCCAGTGACTATAGCGGGTGAGGTAAACATGTGGCCAGAGAAGATGGGAGAATTGCTGGCAAGCATGTATTTTTTTGGAACACTCAACTATGTCAACAACCTACTCCACATGCCAGCAGACCACTTTAGTTTTGCAACCTATGGATTGCTAGCAATCCGCAGCATAGGCTGTATAGTCATAGAGATGGTGTTGGACCACACAGGCTGTCATGTTCGGTTAGTCCACGAAGGTGGCATGCTTAGCCTGGGGGAAGCCCTAGAGTATGTGGTGGCAAAGCTCAAGACCCGAAACAACTGAACAGTGTATTTGCAACCTCAGCACGATATGTACCTATATAAGTCTCCTTTCGAAACACTTCTCCAGAACCGCGCATGCGCAGTTCACCGATACACACATAATACATGAATGCCATATGCACATTGGCATCACATGGTATATTGTTACATGTGTAAGGTGTGTGCATGTGCATTGCATTGAAATTGTCTACAGCAAGTAGGTTTTTCACTTTCACAGCTCTCCCATGGTGACTCTTCCACTAGAGTGCACATTGACATCAAACCATTTTGTGTACGCCAAGGATGACCTGAAAAGAATGGGTGAAGATAAGACAGAGTATGCGTGGAAAACTGAAGAGCTTGTGTCCTGGGATTAGAACGAGGAGGTGTGGTCACAGCGACTCTTCCAGTGCATCCAGCATGGATTCACGGGAGTTAACGTGGTACCTGCCTTTCTGTGGAAACCAAAAGGCTACCAGGCTGAAATCAGCACAATCTTTTCAAAAGTGGAGTGTATACGCGCAATTCACGGGATGACGGACATTTTGCTAGTTGGAGAGAAGAGCCTTGGGCTTATTCGAGTTCAGGAGACGACAGTTGTATGCTCTGTTGAGGTAGGGGTATATAAAGAAGCCATTTGTCCAGTGACTATCGCGGGTGAAGTCAAAGTGTGGCCAGAGCATACAGCAATCAGTGCACTTGATTATATCCGCCGCCCACAAATATTCGCGATATTTTATGACACAACCTTGCGTAAACAGTTTTGACTAGTGCACTTCCGGCGGCAAGGTGAACGCGAACAGACTTTAGGACATACAGTGATCCAGACAATGAGCCTGGCAAAGCTGCTGGAGCTGCCGCAAGCAAACTTTAGTAGAAACCTGTTTTACACATGTGCAGGACAGGAAGAGCCACTTACAATTTCTGGAGCAAGATTCCATAGTGCAGTACTTATCGCACATAATTATGAAAAAGGATGCCAACAAGAAGATGCTTTAGCCGACAACAAAAATCATACATCCATCCCTACATCTTTCTTTACTCACACATCCTCTACTGATATGTTGTGAATTATATCTTACATGCTCCATGACAGGTAACCACACATTTTAAGGGCGTCTACCGACGCTCTGATACAGAGCAAACGAAAGAAAGATGTAGGGATGGATGTATGATTTTTGTTGTCGGCTAAAGCATCTTCTTGTTGGCATCCTTTTTCATAATTTACGCCATCCCTACATCCCTTCATTTTGAAGAAAAGATTTTTCCACTTGTAGTAATGCGCGCGCACCGCATTGGGGAAACGCCCTCCTCGGCGCATGCGGCTCATTGATGCTGAGTTAGCAGCAAATGGCGTTGTTCAGTGACTACCGAGCTCAACGATCTACCGTAGTGACTTGCGGCAAGGAAGAAATGATCGCTTGATATGCATGCACACCTCCGGCAAATTCGGAGACGTTCTGTGAAAAAATCAACGCTTCAAGTGCTTCCGGTAAGGAGCTAGCGGGTCTGAAGAAGAAGAAGAATATGATGATGACACGAAAATCGTGAAATCGCGTAAGTGCGAATTCTCTCGTGGGGAACTGAGGGCATGTAGGACGTCTTGGGACATATGTATAGCTAGGTATTGGCCTCTAGACTATTGCTAGTGATTTTGAAGCCTTGCTGAGTCATTGTCGCTGAGTTT